TCTGGTTACCAGAAAACTAGCTTTGGGGAATAAAGGGAAATTGAGAACAAAGATGATGGGCTTTTAAGTGACACACTGAGTTTGAAATGCCCAGGTTAACTTAAAAAGCAGATCAAAAGAGTCGCTAACCTCTGTTCTCAGGGAACTTAAAATCTGGAATCTGGTTAAAGCCTATGACTTAGATTTGGTAATACTTCCACCAGGTATTTCCCAACAAAAGCCCTGAAGCTTGGGAAACAGATAAACTCCAAGAAAGGGCAGAGATGAACAATAGAAACACTATCAATTTACGAGCTGATTTTCTTTTCTTTTTGTTCCTAGGGATTGAACCCAGGGCCCTTTACCACTGAGCTACATCCTCAGTCCTTTCATTTTTTTTTTTATTTTGAGACAAGCTCTCATTAAACTGCTTAGAGCCTCACTAAACTGCTGAAGCTGGCCTCAAACATGCAATCCTCCTGACTCAGCCTCCAGATTGCTGGGATTACAAGCATGTACCACCAGACCTAGCAAGAGCATAATTTTAAAACATTCCAGTTGGATGCAGTGGCACATGCCTGTAATCCCAGCAGCTCAGGAGGCTGAGACAGGAGGATGGCAAGTTCAAAGACAGTCTCAGCAACAGTGAGGCGCTAAGCAACTTAGTAAGACCCTGTCTCTAAATAAAATACAAAATAGGGCTGGGGATGTGGCTCAGTGGTCCAGTACCCCTGAGTTAAATTCCTGGTACCTCCCCCAAAAAATTCCAAAGAAGGTCATTTGAAACTCTAAGTTTCAAATGCACTAAAAACATTTTACCAACTTAAAGCAGTAGCTTTCTAAAGATGTACCTTATTACATTTAAATACATTGTCCAGGGGACTGGGATGTAGCTCAGTTGCAGAGCACTTGCCTAGCATGTGTGAGGTACTGGGTTTGAACTTCAGCACCACATAAAAATAAATAAAGTATACTGTCTATCTACAAAAAGAAAGAAATTAAATACATTGTCCCCAAAGATAGTGTTTCAATCATATGCCATATAGTATTTTTTTTAACCACACAGTATTAAAACACAAAAACTTGCCCTTCCTATTTAAATTGTAGTTTCTCTTTTATGTGAGTATTCTGGTTAATAAATTAAGAAATGCAGGCTAGGGTTGTGGCTCAGTGGTAGAGTGCTTGCCTAGCATGTGCAAGGCCCTGGGTTCGATCCTCAGCACCACATAAAGATAAATAAATAAAGATATTGTGTCTAGCTACAACTAAAAAATAAATATTTAAAAAATGGTCAAATTACTTACATTTGCAAACTACTAGCAAAGTTATGAAATAGGTTTAATAAAGCAGAAAGAGGAACAATCAAATATCCTATGCCTCCCTGAAGTATACACCACTACCTATGAATTGTATTTACCTTCTCTTCCCAGACCATCAACCAGAAATCAAACCTGAATCAATCTAAATTTACTCCAAGTTTTCAATCTAGCTACCAATTTGTAGAAAATACAAGGGATAAAGGGACATGCTAAACTAGGACAGGTTAAAACTATACCAGAGGGACATGATCATCAAAATCCAGAACGAGGGAAACTAGAGGAAAAATGACCTATTTCCTTCAACAAATAAATTATAAGGTAAATGAGGAAGAATCTACACGTTAAGACTTAAAGAGACATGCCAAACCAGTGTAATGTGAGACCTTGTTTGGATCCCAAATTAAGCCAGCAAATTATCTGAAAACAACTTAAACAACTTAAGAATAGGGAGGGGGTTAAAAAACAGCCAGGCACACTGACACATGTCTGAAACCTCAGTGACTCAGGAGGCTGAGGCAGGAGGATCACAAGTTTTAGGTCTGCTTCAACAATTTAGTAAGACACTATCTCAGAATTAAAAAAGGGATGGGGAGTCAGGCACAGTGGTTTACACCTGTAATTCCAGGTACTCAAGAGGCTGAGGCAGAAAGATCACAAATCTGAGGCCAGCCTCAGTAATTTAGTGAAGCCCTAAGCAACTTTGCAAGACCCTGTCTCAAAACACAAAAGAAAAAAGGCGAAGGATGTAGCTCAGTAGTAAAGCACCCTGGGTTCAATTCCCAGAACCAAAACAAAACAAAAACCAAAAAACAAGAATCATCTTTTGATGGGAGCAGTGGTACACACCTTTAATCCTAGCAACTTGGGAGGCTGAGGCAGGAAGACAGAGTTTAAGACTTGCCTGGGCAATTTAATGAGACCCTTTCTCAAAATAAAGAACAAAAAAGGCTAAGGATGTAGCTCAATGGTAAAGCACCCCAGTTCAATACCCAGTTCTACCAAAAAATAAATCATCTTTCAGAGAGATACTCTGAAACATTTAGATGAAATACTTACATAGATTTGCTTCATAATATGAAGGGGATGAGGAAAGTAGATGCGGTGGAGATTAAACATTAATGGCTCAATTGTTTGTGTTTTGAAGATACAAAAGAAAAACTCCACTCTCAGTGTCATCAACAAATGCAGAGGATAGGAATGGCTTTAAATTTTGTCCCCAAGTTTTATAAAACTGAGCAGCCTTCAGGGTCACACAACCACTTAGCGCCCCAAAGGTTAGACGAAGACAATGAACTCATTTATTTGCTCAAGTTAGAAACCTGGGTGACTTAACTCCTTTTGTTTCCCCAGTCTCTACAACTGGTCCACCACCAAATCCTGTTTACCTTTCTCTTCCATCCTCCCACTACTGTCCATCTACTTCATCACCGTGGTCTCCCACCATTCCAAGGGCCTCCTTTAACCTGCTTTCCACACTGGATCCAGAAAAATGCCCCTATAATGCAAAATATGATCAGGCTATCCCCACATCCCCTAAAATCCTTAAAAACTGCTTTCCATCACCTTCACACAGAGTGCTCCTTCAAACGTTTTTTTTATTTTTATTTTTTAGGTGTAGATGGACACAACACAATGCCTTTTATTTTTATATGGTGCTGAGGATCGAACTGGGGTCCCGCCCGTGCTAGGCGAGCACTCCACCGCTGAGCCACAATCCCAGCCCCTCAGACTTTTTTTTTAATAATTTAAAATTCCTTTAAATGATTCCTTTAAATCATTTAAAGGAATTTTAACCAATTCCTTTAAATGATTTAAGGCTCTCCATTATCTTCTCATGTTCTCTGACTCCTCTTTATGCTTTAGCTTCGGTGAGCTCTTGCACTACACTTGTATTCTATAGCTGCACCACTCATATCTGAAATGCTCTTTTTGCTTATCCTCAACTCCCTTTCCTGCCTTGCTCCTATTCATATTTCAAGTTTCAGATTGCTTCTCTACTAAGTTGGATGCTTTCTCACAGCTACACAACACAGTACTAGCTCCCATAGAAACCTGTACTTCCCCTATCATAACAATGTGTTCAGAATACCTGCTGTGGTAATTTATATATTTATCTGTTTTCCCAGCTAGATTATAAACTCCAGGAGGGCAAGTGCTAAGATTTATAAGTCTCTCCTTATGCCTAAGAGCCAATAACAAATTGCTGAATTATGAAATTCACAAGTTTCTAGACTATTTTCCAAGTTCCATCTTCCTAATCCTCATCTGCAACAAAAACAGTCATCCATTTAGGCATTTACACAGGGATCTGAATCTGCACAGGAACCTATATTATGAAGAGAACTGGAAACAGAATGGGTATGCAGAACCTAAAAAGGAGATAAATTATGGAACTGAGGGGTTGTGGCTCAGTGATTAGAGCGCTTGCCTAGGACTAGGTGAAGCACTAGGTTCAGTCCTCAGCACTGCATTAAAATAAAGGTATTGTGTCCATCTACAACTTGAAACTTTTTCAAAAAAGAAGTAGATAAGTTATTACTCTAAAAATATAGTTTTAGCTTAAGATAGTAAGTATCCATATTTACAATTTTAGAGAAAATTCAGGAGTGCTAAACTGACAAAACGGGAGTCAAAGACAGTTTTCTCCCATCCATTAACAAGTTTTCAGACACAAAATGTTAGGTCTCTTAACCTCTCCAGCTTTAGTTTCCGTATGTATAAAATAAAGGAAATCGGACCCTTTTTGGAGCTAATATTATATGCTCTAATATTTAAAAGGTGAAAAGACATGTAAACTATCAAACACTGATCAGTTGGTTTCGTCCTAAGGTGGTGTGATCTTTTTTACCTTATTAATAACTGTTTAGGGATGTTACGGCCTATTATGTTAAGCTTACAGCCAAATCTTTAGTCACAAAACGCTCCTCAGACTATTAATGGGCAGATTTAATAAGGGTTACAAGCAATCTGATGCAACAGCCTCTATTTAAACAGAGAATGAATTACTATTCAATTTTTGGCTTAAATTAAAAAAATCTTTCATTACCTGTTAGATGCCTTGAATTCTTCATCATTTTCTATGGTATCCTGAAGGCAAAGCTGTACCCCAGGGTATAAGATTTGGATTTATGGGTTTATTTAACAACTAAAACTGAAGACACAGTCTGTTTCAACCTCGTGGGGCTGGGAACTGAGATAGAAATTACGAATGGCTTAATTCCTATTTACATTCACACAATTCAGAGTTCATGCTATCGCGAAATGCCAGTAGTTACTAGTCCCACGCTCTTATCAGGGAGCTGAACTGTACACGTTTTATTTCGAAAGCAGAATTTTCAAAAAAAGATTTCGAAACTAGTTATGGCAAATAAAGTAGCTTGTAAAGGTTTTACTATTAAGCGACAACCAGTTTGCAATCGGCCACTGGAAACCCGGAGGGGAAAAAACTGGAGTAATAACACGTGTTTCCTGCTTTGCAGTGATTACAAAGTAGTTTTTGCAACTGCTTCTTGTTCCACCAAATATGTCACGACAAAGAAATGCAATGTTAAAATGAATGCGGAAAAAAAAAAAAAAGGATGTAGTTGAAGAAACAAAAAGTGTGCATCCGTCCAAAGATAACGCTAACCTTGAGAGTCATCTCCACTGGGCCGCCTAAAGTCCCCAGGGCGGAGGGTACTATAGAGGGCGCCTCTCGGAAGCCACAGGTTGAACGACAAAGAGCCCCCGCCAGCAGCAGTCCCGAAGGTGGCGGGCTGGCCAGCCCTCTGCGCTCCATTCGAACCCTGCAGTCTAGCCTTGGCTGTGGGCAATGCAGCTCCTCACATCAATCTCAAGTCATCAGGTGGGACAAGGGCTGGCAGGCTGAGAAGGTTGGGGCGGGCATGCCACGAATCCAAAATAACTCCCGCCCCGAGTCCCTTCCCTGGGACCAGAAGGCGGCGGGAGAGTCCGGAGGGACCACGTGAATCGGCCCCAGGTCGCCCCTTTTCTAAATCAAAGCATCTCTCCGGGAGCCTACAGAGGGCCAGAGGGGAAGCGACTCCCCAAGGTCACCGGGCACCATGACTCGACTCTTCGGTCAGGTCAGTGGCCGACACCTGACCACGGGGCCCGTGGATCGGCTGGAAGACGCAGTCCCCAGCGCCTCAAGGTCCCCTTCACCAAGACCACGCAGGTACGATGCCCTCTGTCACGCCACCTTCCTCCCCCCGCCCCGAGGAAGGTTCCCGACGCCGGAGGGCACCCCGACCCCAACCCCACAGCCAGGGCACCGCGGGGGACGCGCCAGGCGCCGCTCGCTGTGACCTAACTAACCGTTATGTGCCGGGCTCGCGGCGCCGAGCTGTGCGTGACGCGGCGGCTCGAGCTGGAGTTCCTCCGGGCCCCAGGGTCCAGCTCGCGTCGCTCTCCCGCCGCCGGGTTCTCTCGCCCTAGCACCCACGCGGCAGGGTAGTCACGTCGCAGCTCGCCACTTTGTCTGGCCGGGTTGGCGCTGCTGCCTTATAACCCGCGGGGGCCGGAGCATGCGCACAGGGGGCGGAGTCGGCCTGCGCGGCCGCCGCCCCCTCCCCGCCATACATACTCCGAACTGTAACTCGCGCCTCCAACGCTCACGGCCGCGCGTGCCCGCTCGCCCGCCCGCGCGCCGGCGCCCCCTCCCCGCCACGTGACTCGCGGCCCGGCCAGACCCGCGCGCTGCGCCCCCGCTCTGCGGCGTGGCGCCGGCTGCGGCGCTCCTTCCGCGACTCGAGGGGTTGGCGCGCACCTCCGCAGGTCTGGGACCCCTGCCCGGCCCCTCTGGATTTCTGCCTGAGAAGAGGGGAACAGCCTCCTGGGGGCCCGACCCTGAGCGTGAGGGGCGATGGGCTCGCGATGGGGACGGGAAGAGAGGACTGGGCAGCGTTTGAATGGACGCGCCGCAGCTCGGACCCGGGAAGACGCCCGGGCTGTGGACCGCGTGCGCCTGGCTCCCTGCGGGCCTGGCACTGGAGTGCGGTGACCTCGGGGAAGTCAGCCTCCCTGGGCCTGTTTCCTCTCTCTAATGGCAACAGAGAACCGACTTCCTAGGCTCGTAGGAAGTTTGGGTGAGAGAATTTAGGAATCTCCCTGACCACGTTGCCCGGGCTGTGGCATTTGGTGAACGGTGGGTGTTACCAGTCGGTTAAGAGAGCGGTCAGAGGGTGGGGAGACTGGCCAGTGGGATAGGGCGTGTCCATCGGAAGCGGAGAGGAACACATTTTTATGAACATGATGTTTGGGACTGGATAGAATTACAGCTCACCGTATTGAGGGGCAGGTTATCTGTTAAGCAATTCACCTGAATTATTTGAGTAATCCTCGCAACCCTATGGGGTAGGTGCAGCTAGGAACATTTTATAAATAAGGGACCTGAAACTCAGAGAGGTTAAGTAACTTTCCGGAAGTCACAGAGCTAGGAAGTATCCAGAATTTGGAGTCAGACGACAGACCTTAGTTTTGTTATAAGTGCCATTTTAGATTCTTGACCAAGTCCAGACACCAAAGTGTGTCCATTGAAGTGATCAAGTAAAATAACAAGTGCCTAGATTTCCAGGACCCTTGGAAAACACCAAAAAAAAAGTATGAGAAGAGGCCTCTGCCTGGAGAGAGTTTTCAAGTTTGGGGACACAAATCAACCAACTTTTGTTTGGCACTTGCTTCATAGCAGAACCCTGCCCATCCTCTCATGTTTTCTTCCCTCTTCTCCCCACCCCCACTCAATTTTCAAGACCCTATAAGGTAGGTATTACAGTTTTTGTTTTGCAAATGAAGAACCTGAGACTGAAGAGAAGTGGAGATTGGTTCCTGAGATCCCCTTTGCTTTTTTTTCACTCACTCTTGCCTCTTCCTACAGCAGAAAAGTTTTCACTAAGACTTCAACATGTTACTAGAAGACCATATGGAATCCAAGCCAAGTACTGAATGTGAGCTATTTTGTTTTTTACATTTGATAAATGCAGAGAAGATAAGGCACTTCAGGTCGTTGGGAAACCTGGCTAGAACAGCAGTGTTTTAAGATTGTTAGGGTGGCAGCAAGCATTCAGATAGTTAGATAGACACAACAGGAGATTGATTCAACTGTGAATTTATTCCCACTATGGAATATAATGAGAAGTGATAAAATTATTCCCAGGAAATGTAAAAGGTTTACAGAGCAGCATAGTGTGGTAGATGCACAGCAAGAACCTGGGAGCCAGATCTCCTTTTGAGTTCCAGCTTTGATACTTGCCGGTTCCCAGCTCTGTACCCTTAGGCAAGTCATTTTATCTTTCTGCTACTCATTTTCCACTCCATACAACAAGAATAATTCCTACCTCAAAAGGTTTTATGATAATAAAATTAATATTTATTTCAACCTTTTTTGTTTATTTTCAGTGGTGCGAGCATGCTAGACAAGTACTCTACCACTCAGCCACATCTCCAGCCCATGTTTTTTCTTTTCATCTTGAAAATCTGGTGAGATGCTTGCCTAGCAAGTGAGGCTCTGGGTTCCCATCTCCTGCACTGCAAAAAAAAGCAGATTTCCATTTAACTTAATCCTAGAGATTAACCCTAAAGGCCCTCACTCGAATAAACTCTTTCCAAGGCTCTGAGAAGGGCCCTAACAATGTGCTCACAGAATCATACTGTTTTATACTATAAATTTATATTCCTGCTTTTGAAATAACCACAAAAATTGTTGACACCTCACACCCTACAAAACCTGGATCTTCAGGACTTGGTGTTGTGAAAACAGTATAGACTTTGGAACCAGAAGACCTGATTCCATAACTACTATCTATACAATTAATTCACTGGGCTCCTCTAGGCTTCATTCCCCAAAGTAAACTGAAGGTAATACTTATGAGCCAGAACTGTTATGATAATGAGATAGTATTTGCAAAGGTGATTGGTAATCCTTGGAAAGTGTTCTACAAGTATTTATGAATTGGGCTGGGGATGTGGCTCAAGCGGTAGCGCGCTCGCCTGGCATGCGTGCTGCCCGGGTTTGATCCTCAGGACCACATACAAACAAAGATGTTGTGTCCGCCAAGAACTAAAAAATAAATGTCAAAAAAAAAAAAAGTATTTATGAATTAACATTATTATAGTCTATGAATTAATATTATGTTTATGTATTAATATTTTAAAGTGCATAAAAGGGAACTGAAAAGTAGTAAATGGGTGGCACAAGTTAGCAAAAATGATAAAATAATGTAGGTAAAATCCTTGCTCTTCAGGAAGATTTTCTTCCTGAGTTAAGCCATGAGACATTGATGAAATAAACTAGGAAGTATAGGATCAGAAATTTAAGTCTGAGAAGAGGATAAAGATCATCTCCCAGGCTGAGGTTGTGGCTCAGCGGTAGAGCGCTCACCTAGCATGAGCGAGGCCCTGGGTTCGATCCTCAACACCACATAAAATTACATAAACAAAATAAAGGTATTGTGTCTAGCCAAAAAATAAATATTTTTAAAAAAATCATCTCCCAGCCCTACTGCCATTTTACAGAAATGGAAATTAACGTCTAATAAAGGTCTAAAAGACCTTTCTAAAGCTTGCCATCTAATGAATGGCATGATCAAAAGAACCAAATAGATTGCCAAGCTCCAGGTTCTTCTTAGTGTACCAAGTACAGTATTTAAGATAAAAGTATTACGTGAGCAGGGCCTAGTGTTGCACACCTGTAATCCCAGCAGTTTTGGAGGTTGAGACAGGAGGATCGCAAATTCAAGGCCACCCCTGAGCAACTTAGTGAGACCCTGTCTCAAAAATACAAAGGACCTAGTATGTAGCTCAGTAGTCAACTGCCCCTGGGTTAAACTCTCAATTTTAAAAACCCCCAAAAGACCAACACATTACACCATGGAAATCATTGCATCGAATCCAGAGAAGATGTTAAAGTAAACGATTGAAGAAAAATGCCCATAAAAAACAGTAGGCATGGTGCTTTCTAGTGACTTCTAGGTTTATAGCAAAATTCCCAGGACAGGTCTGTCTTAAGGTTGATAGACTGGGTGAGTTTGCAAATTTATTAAGTGAGCAAAATGAAAAAATTTCAAAATAGGAGTTATATAACTTAAAAAATTATTGCCTGTGTGAGAAATGCAAATGGCAAGACGTGAAAACTATCAATATAGGTGTTCTTCAAGCTAAGTAAGTTGCTTAGTTGCTTCATCTGGAAAGGAAAAATAAAACTACATTGTGTTTTCTCTGGAAATCTGGAACTACTTAATTTGCATACCCTTGATTCTATCCCTTGTGATGTAGGAAGGAGAAGATTGCTAGTCCCATTTCACTAATAAAAAAATAATACAGGAGCAAGGCTCACGTGGTGGCGCATGCCTGTAGTCCCAGAGGCTTAGGAGGTTGAGGCAGGAGGATATTGAGTGCAAAGCCAGCCTCAGCAGTTTAGCAAGGCCCTAAGTAACTCAGCAAATAAAATATATTTTTATATTTTACATTTTAAAAAATATTTTTATATTTTATATTTGTCTCAAAATAAAAAGTACAGAGACTAGGGTTATAGCTCAATGGTAGAGTGGTTGCCTAACGTGTGAGCCACTGGGTTTGATCCTCAGCACAGGTATAGTGTCCATCTACAACTAAAAAAATTTTTTTAATAAATAAATAATATAATAAAGGGTTGGGATGTGGCTCAGTGGTTAAGCACCCCTGGGTTCAATCCCCAGTCCAAAACAAAAAGAAAAACAGTACAGGAAAGGATTCTTTTTGATACAATATTTAATTAATTAAGAGTACCCCATCAGGGCTAGGTCTGTAGCTCAGTGGCAGAGCACTTGCCTAGTGTGAGTGAGGCACTGAGTTTGATCCTCAGCACCACATAAAAATAAACAAATAAAATAAAGGAATTGTGTCCATTTACAACTATAAACACACAAATAAATAAATAATAAAATAATACCACGTCATAATTTGTAACAATTTAATAGGCAACATCTAATTTGGTTTTGAACCATGTGTGGAAAAGGGTATGCTATTGCAAGACACCTAGAAAAAATGAGATAATGCCAGTCCTAAAAACATTCTTTAAAGTTGTGAACCCGCTCGTTCATAGCATCTTCATTTAATTTCCTGTTAGATGTTAAGTATAGTCCTGCTATTTGCCAAGGACTAAGTCTGGATCTGTGAAGAATTTGCCATTTTTTGAAGAATAACTCAGTGTTGGTAAGATGTGCTCCAAGCCTCTCTGACCTCTCCCCATTTCTCCTCAGCTCTTACTCCTTTTTTGACACTTCACTTATCTCTAGCCTCCACCAGTTTGGCATCCTAATCAGTTACTTCTCTGGCTTCCTGCTAACATGAGATAACTTAGTTAAAACAGTTTGATAGAAAACAAATTGCTTACAAGAAAATTTTTTTCACCCTGAGAAATTAGTCCAAAATTATTATTTCTGACCACTGTTTTTTTGTGTGTTTGGTAATTTTGGTGGCCAAGGATTTGTTTTCCTGCTTCTTTAGATCTTTGAGGATTTTTTTAATACACATATATATAAGCAAGTTTTTCAGGGATTTATAATACTATTTTCTAGTGTGTGTGTGTGTGTGTGTATGGTGCTCAGGGCCTCACAC